TGGTCCCTCTCACCTGGTGTGGACAAGGCCATTCGTTCCATGATTCTGTAAAGATTTTTCTGGATGCTTCCATGCAGCCGGCCTAGCCTCATTCCTTTGCTTTCATAATTCAATTATTTAAGTTGATGTTTTAAGTTCCCTCTGAGAGAATGGTCTTATACCAATCAAGCTGCACTGCCTTGGGCAATAACAGCTTTGCTCATAACCACCAAGGATTTCCTAATTGTTCCAACCTCTCCCCTAAGACACTGCAGAGGATGAAGTAAAAACAACAGCAGTTGTTGCTAGCGTGGAGCAGGGCTTGAGGCCTGTGGAAGGGCAAGAGTTTCAGAGATGGACAAAAGTGGTTCAAATCCCCACTCTGCCACTCACCCTCCTGGCCTCCTGGGCTGTGATGGAGCCCCCCTCTGTGCCTCAGTTTCCCCATCCCTAAAGCAGGGACACCGGTGCATCCACCTCTAAGAGCTACTGTGGGCACTTAACGAGCTGCACACAAAGCGCACAGCGCCCTCTGCCCCACACATAATAGGTGTTCAATAAATGTCCGCTACTCTTATTAACACCCAGAGCTCCTTTTGATAAAATACAGGAGGAGACTGAACTGCAAGAAACACCACCAAAGAGATAAATTTAAGGAATAATTTGAGCTGCTAAAAATCGCAATGAGCTTAAAGTTAACTGTATTCAGTGGCATTTTTACCTACCCTTTTACAGACATAAAAAGGACTCTTTTGCTTCTGGTAATGCTGGTTTTAGAATGAATTTAGCAGCCCACAACGACTTGCCTTCAAATAGCCAATACTAAAGAAATATGTGAACGATGTCTCCTGATATTTTTCTGTGACTACACTTGACGTTTGACCAAAGGACAGGTGACTATAGCCATACTTTTTCGACCTCCACTAAGCTTACATATTCTAGGCTGTGCCCCTGGCAGGTGGTGAAATGTAAAATCTGTTTCCTCTGGATGGACACACATACACACGTACCCCCGAAACCTGATCGGCCTCAATAGACAACAGCCAACTTGGGTTTCAAGGGTGAACAAAATCATTTTTAAGAGAAGACAGTGTACGCGAGGTGCTTCTCTAACTCATCCCATCCAGGGGTGTGTGTGCAAGTGTGAATTTGATGCTCATGAAAGAAACGGCCTGCTCAGGTGGCCCAGGGCCAGGCTGTGCTCGGTCGGGGCGAGGAGGTGCCAACTTCTCTGGCAGCTCTGCCAGCACACCTCGCCCTTTCTGCTTTCTCTGCTGCCGGCCAGACCCAAGCGTCCAGGGGTTTTTGTAAGGAAGACAAACGTCTTTTTACCGGTGGCCTACATCAGGGACTTCAGCTGAGGTCTGGATAGGTGAGAAGGCAACTGATCTAGCCACCCACCTGTGTGATACTGCTCTTTGAAGACTGACATCCAGGTCCCAGCGTGTTAGACAAAGGCCACCATCCTCCAGGGACCATAGCTGGTCCCTCCACACTGTTGGGCACTTTCAGTTCGAAGCCTGAGAAGGCACTTTCCTGCTTCCAAGCACAGGTGTGCTGTCTCCCTGCTGGCTGGGGCCCGGCCTCGTTTCCTGCAACAGATCATTTTATTTAAAAGCAACCCTGAGAGAGAGCTGTCTTTACTCAGGCAACAATTTGGAGGCAATAAACAACGCCACATGTGAAACTTGAGTCATCCCTTTGTCTTCATTTTGCCCCAGTGACAGATTCACTGGGTTTCTGCCATCAGCTGGGTTAAGGGGTTCTCTCTCAGCAAGGATGAGGCAAGCCAACACATCTCTACCGCTTCAGTCTCAGTTTTTCCTTTTAAAATGGGCTGCCAACCTCTCAGGCCGCTGGTGAGTTACAATCAATTGGTTTTTCAAATTGCGTACACAATTTCTCAATTTTCAAATGTGCTGACTGCAAGAGTCTATCGCGGATGGAAACGGAGTACGTCTGCGCAGTCACTCTGCTGCGGCTGCCAGTACAGACCGCTTCCCCAAGGAAATAAATTACATTTCATTCTCTATATATTGTTTACTTTATAGTCTCTTGATCTTACTTTGCTGACTTCTTGTTGTAGATTTTTCAGTAGCTTGGTTCCCACTTAATCACAACAGCTTCTGTAAATGTTAGCGAGTTGTGTTATGGGGATTTGCCACCAGCATTTCACGGCGGTTACTGAACATAGAAGCCCCTTCCCTCGTCTACCAAAATACCTTGGTAAATATTCCCCTCACTTAAAAAAAAATAATAATAGACCCTTAAAATGATTTCCCACCGGCAGACTTTATACCATGTTAACCATGCAATAACTCAAGGCGCATTTTGCGATGTTCTTTATTTGCGGTTTTACGAAGAGGTCACAGTGTACAGAGCATATGCATCCTGACGAACGTGTTCCTTATAGTCTGCTCATTTTCCCAAAATCCCAACAGAAGAAAGGCTTTCTTCTCCCATCTCCTAGCAGAGTTGTGTGGTGCAGCCGAAAGGAAGCCTGTCAGCTAAGACATGCCTCCAACCGCATACCTGGTGACACCCCTCCTTACTGTACCCACTTTTCAGGAGGGGACTGTTTTCTGTCTGGGTTCATTGAGCTCATTTTATGCCAGGCATCTAATTGTCGCACCTATCTTACCAGGGTAGGTCCTATCCCGGTCCCCGTTTTACAGCTGAGACAAGCGAGGCTCAGGGAGGGGAAGTGACTTGCCTGGGGTCGCTTAGCTTGGAAGCGCAAGGCAGGATTCAAACCTCGGCCCCACCGACTGCTGCTTCAGAGTCGCTTTAGAGAGCTCCCCCCTGCTTCAGACGTCCTCTGACCCTTGTTCTGAGCTTCCTGTCTTCATCGGCCAAGTGTGCCTCCCTACAAATGTCCCACGGGGGTCTGGAGCAATACAGCTGTGCCAACAACCAGCCATCTACTCTTACATAAGTGGCCTCGCCCCTTCTGAGCCTCAGTCTTCTCATCCATCATGTGGGTATAATTATCCCAGCCTCACAGGGCCATCTGTAATAACAAGCATGGGCATATTATTGAGCTCGTCCCATGTGCCAGGCACGGGGCCAGGTACTCCACACAACGACCTTTTTAATCCTCCCAACAACCCGACGAGGGAGATACTATGATTACCCCCGTTTTGCAGATGGGGCAAGTAAAAAGTGAAATGGAGATATCCAACACGTGCCACCACCCAAGCCTGAGCCATTGTCCTCTGCGTGGCCCTCACTCCTTCCGCCCCAGCCTCACTATGTCCTCTTTGCCACACAGCCGTCAGAGGGATTCTATTCAAACCTAAGTCAGACCCTGTCACTGCTCCACTCTAAACCCTTCTATGGCTCCCATCTCATACAGAGTAAACGCCAAACACTGTGCTGCGGCCTTGCAGGGCCTGCGTGACCGTGGCTTTCGTGCCACTGTCCCTGTGCACGCTCTGCTGCAGGCCCGTGACCTCCTGTGGCTCTGCTCACACACCCAGCCTCAGGGCACTGGCCCTGGCGAGCCCTCCTGCCCTTGGATCAGATGTCCCCATATTGGAACGGCCCTCTCAGGCCACTGCACCCAAAACATTATGCTCTGTCCCTCCCTCTTGTTCCCTCTCTGTTCAGTTTCCTCTTAGCATCTAAAATCACCTCACGTGTATTTATCTTTCTGTATTTTTGCTTGTCTCCCTCTCCCACTATTAGAATCGAACCCCTGTGAGGATAGGGTTGTTGGGTTTTTTTCCCATTGTTTTACTACAGTACCTCCGTGCCTAGAACACTGTTGGTGTTTAAATAATATATGTGAAACAAGAGAATTACAAAATCATACTAAGTAGTCCATCCCTGGGTGACGCCTGGCATAGAGCAAGTGTCGAGAAACACTGGCTGTTACAGTCAGAGGTGTTAAAAGACCTTGGCAGGAGGACGAGGGCCATGTCAGCTTCGAGCCTCCATCCATCTCCATCTAGAAAAGTTGGTCTTCTGAGACCTGGAGGGACAGTTCCCCCTCATAGCAGCCTAGAGGGGACAGCAACACTCCCCTGTCAGGAAGGAGGATGTCCCAAACCCAAGAGGAGGGAGTTTCCCAGGTTTCTAGAAGGATCTGCCAAGTTACTGTACATCTTCAACAGCATGAGTGGGCAGTTGCCTTCCAGAGCCAGGATTAGGGTCAAATCACGTAGCCTGAGCACCTCAAGTGAGTTCTGGGCCTCTCCACACAGCAGCCTGGCCAGCACGGTGGATTCAATTTGGTGCAATAATTTGATTTTCCCTCTAATTTTGAAAGTAACACATGCCCTATAAAATATTCAAACATCAAAGAAATGTGTAATTTAGAAAACGATGCACCCCTTTCCCCAACCCAGATAATTTACTGCTAATTTGGCGCACTGGCTATTCGTCTTGAATTTCTTTTCTAAGCAGATTCCAGCATTTATTGTTATTATTGCTGACACAAATGGGGTCATACCATACATAGCTTTTGCACCTTGCTTTTCCCCCTTAATCGGGTTTATTGAGGTATAATTTAGATATAGTGACATTATGTATAAATTGGTTTTTGTGTAAAGTCCTATGAGTTATGACAAAACATCTACAGTTTTGTAAGCATCACCACAATAAAGGTTTAGTACCATTCCACTGCCCTCCCAAAATTCCTTGTGTCCCTTGGTAACCAACCCCTTCCTTCACTCCTAGCTTCTGGCAATGACTAGTCTGTCCTCTGTTCCTATGCTCTCTGTCCTTTTAAGAATGTCACATAGATAGAATCATAGGGTACATATAGTCCTTTGTTTCTGGTTTCTTTCATGCAGCATAAAGCATTTGAGGTTCCTCCACGTTGTAGCATGAATCAGTGCTTCATCCTTTTTCATTGCTGCATAATATTCCATTGTATGGACATACCACAGTGTGTTTATCCATTCACGACCTGAAGGACATTGGGTTATTTCCAGTTTGGGGAAAACTACAGATAAAGCCACAATAAACACTCATCCAAGTTTTGGTGAGAGTATAAGTTTTCATTTCTCTTGAGTAAATAACCAGGAGTGGGACTGCTGAGCCATAAGGTAAATATGTATCTAACTTGATAAGAAACTTCCGAACTGTTTCCCAGAATGGCGACATTGTCCATGCACCCTGCTTTTATTTTTAACCCCACAAACATGTTATTACTTGATACTATGTATTTACTTGCTTGTGAAAATTTTTTCCATCAGAATGTAAGCTCCACGAGGGTAAGGATACTGTCTTCTTTGTTCACTGTTGCAACCTCTGCCCAGAACAGTAGCTGGCATGTAGTAGGTGCTCAAGAAATGTGTATAGGATGAATGAGCCCCACGGACCTCCCTTCATGTAAGGAAATGTAGGTCCGTGTTATTAACCTGCAAGCCACAGTGTCGTGTAGTCTGTGGTCCAGCTGGGCCTCCCTTTCCTCCACTAGTCCCTCACTGTGGGTCCTTGGGGCGCTCCAGTTTTTCACTTCAAGACAAGTCTAAGTCGATGGGCTTTGCAAACCTGTGTGAGTTTTTCATTCAAACAAATTTCTGCAAGTACGATTGCTGGGTCTATGAAAAATCGCCACATTCATAGATATCGCAAAAGATGATGTCGATTTATTCTTCTCCCAAGAGGGGAGGAGGTAGTCTGTTTCAGGAGGTGACCTGTTTCACTGCAACCTTACCTGCACTGAACATTACCAACTGGGATACATGTTAAATCACAACACGGGAAGTCTCAAGGTCAGCAAGTCCAATGCTTCCCCGATTTTTGGATTTCATACATGGGTATAATCTCCAGACAGAACGGTGCAGACTGACATAGGACCACCAACTTCTTGTTTCGCTAAGAAAGGACCAAAAAAAAAAAAAATCAAGACTGAAACAAATCTACTATCTACAAAACATAGTACCTCCTATGGTTTTATAAATAAAAGGACATTTTCACTCCATTGAAAAACTTGAAAGGCAAACTCTGAGAATAAAATCAGTCTAATTGGAAAACACTTGGACTTCGTTTTTCTATTTCACTGTGAATTGGGGAAAAGAATGCAGCCTGGGTCTCGTGGATGGGTTTGGATGGGAGCCTGGTGACCACCAGCAGGCCTGCGTAGGTGACCCTGAGAGGGCTCTAACATGAGAACAACAAAAGGTAGCTGGAAAAAAAATGAAACTAAACGTGGGGTAAGAAATGAAAGTGTTACAATTAGCTAATTGGGCCCAGTACTTCTGGATATAGCTCTCTTCCCCACTGTGCAAGGAGTTTTCTCCACATCAAAGACCACTGCTCGCCCGGAGAATTGGAACCAATGTTTATGGAGTGCTTTGAAGATGTAAAAGTACTGTTTAAATGCTAAGTATTATTATTATTACTTTAAATTTTAAATACCTTTTTTTTTTTTTTTTGGTGGGAACTTTTAATACCTTGGCATTTCTTATCTAATGTTGAAAAGGAGCCTGTCTGTTGTTAACGCATACCTCGATTCAGGCTGGAGTGAGGCAAGAAACCCAACCTACCTTTGGAATATCGAACACAATCCAACCACCCTGTCCTTGTAAATTGTGTTTTCTGGGAAGATGAACACTGTCAATCCGACGCTGTCAGTTTATGTAAGAACATGTCTCAAGATCTAATTGAAATACAGTATCTTTCCAGGCAGAGTTGATAGAGTTATCACATTACAGATTTTATTTGACTCTGCATCTCAATTCATTCCTTTGTATAGTTTCCAGATTTCTTCATAAAACAGAAATTAGACACAGTCTTGACATTAGAATTTCACGAAGAAGCAATCAAATCCAAATTACTTCGAAGAAGGAAAGGACTATAAAAATGACTAAACAAAATGAAAGGGAAAAAGATTCCTGAGGGCCCTGGTTCATGAATTAATTTTCTTATTTGGTCCTTGGGACAAATCCAACCTAATTTAAGAGGTTGCCAGGCATAAAACACAAGGAAAAACTTTTGCATCTGTGGCTACTAAGAGCCTAAAGATAAATATTATAAAGTTGGAAAGTTTTGTTGACTTTTATCCTTTTATTTTTTTGGCATAAAACTCAGACAATGAACCCGACTGGTCAATATCCCTTTCATATGTTCACTGTGTGCTAATAGATTTTTTATTTTTTTATTTTTTTGAGCATCGGTGGGGGAATTTTTTAAATTAAAAAATCATCAAAGCTTAAATGAATCGCCCAACGTAAAACTTGGATCCAAAATGGAACAGTCATTGGGGCTTTGCAATTTCCTATGGTAACCAAAGACCACACTGTGTTTTAAAAACTATTCTAGTAATGAGATTCACAAGAGGTCTCAAGTTACTAAGTGGCTTTGAGCCTCTTTTGAAACCGAAGTAAAAGAAAAATCTCATTAATTTGAACTGTGCTAATAATGGAATTTGTTATAATTCAACCTGGCCTAAGTGGCAGTTTACCTCTGGTGTACCTGTGAAGAAAAATTTACCAGAGTCACAGGGCAGAGAAGATTGTGCAAGCCATGTTTTATGTCCTTAAAAGAATAAACCATTTTAAGGCTTTTAGCACCTCACTCTTACCCAAATAAATTCCTGCCAAATCCAGATGAGTTTTAACTGTTGATTAGAGCAGACAGGAAGTAATACTACTTGGGAATCCTTTCTTTGTCAAACTCCCTTCTGTATTCAAAAGAAATAAAGGTTCATTTTGTTTAAGGATTCTAAATAGTCCCTTTAATGCAGAAGGATCTCTTAACCTGCCCTTCATGCCAATTGTCAGGAATGAATGAGATTTTATTGAAGCAGTGGCAGAGATCTGTAATTACAACCACTAACAAAGAAAGGAACTCAAAATAATGTTTTTTTCCACGACACTTATATATGTGTCAGGCCATGTGCTAAGCACTGTCTGATTTCTTTACACTGAGCCTGGCGACCAATAGGTTCTTAATAGATGGTCCCATTTACTATTAAAGTAACCTGTATCTTTTTCCAGCTATAGAAGTATATTAACGTCTGTTGGTCTCATTGGTCTCAGTGGACAGAAAACGATGGTTAAAGGAAAATATACATAAATTAAAAAAAAGATAATAGCTGATGGATGGATGGATAGATAGAAATAGATAGATAGATAGATGGATGGATGGATGGATGGATGGATGGATGGATGGATGGATGGATAGGTGGATGGTGGGATAGATAGAAAGAAGCACAAAAAGCGAAGAAACAGGGGGAGGTGACACTTTGGACAAGCTAGCCAGGTAAATGGTTTTTCTCTCCATCCAATCACGAACTGTGGCAAGGCACATTAGAAAGTTAGCCATGAACCAAGAATGACACAGCCATCCTGGCGATCACAGCAAGCTGACTTAGGACTCTATTTGGTGCTCCTCTGACAAGATCCCAAGGCTATCGAGAACCAAAAGGAGGAACCAAGCAGCCTAGATCCCAGTCTGTTAAGGAGGCTGGAGAAACGCTCAGTGAGATGGTTGGTATGTGCCAAGTACAAAGTCCTGCTAACTTGAAGGACTGGTTTGATGCCATGATATGTGACTTTGGTTTTCCTACCACAGTATTATTTCATAGTTGTCAATGAATGATACCAAATTCTCCCTCCTTACCAGAGGAAATGCCTCAAATTCCCACCATTCCATTCACATTAAAAAATTTTTCTAAGGTTTTTTTTTATCTGATTATAAAAACAATACCCCAAAATTAAGTAAGTAAGATAAAATAAGAAAGAAAAGCCCATACAGCTCTTCATTAAAAAAAATCAAACCATATAGAAAAATATGAATGTGCAAGTGAAAATGATCTATGATATCCACTGCTAACATGTTGGTAAATATCTAATTCAGCACTAAAAAACATATATTTAAAGAAGACTTAGCATGCATCAGCCAATGGAGATAAAGGGGACAATATAAGTTACAGTTTCTGAGATTAGGGACTTCATAATCTACTAGAAGAAACAAATTAAACAAATTTTGACAAGTGTGATGAATATTTTGTAACTTGCTTTTTTGCACTCAATAATCCGTCATAGGCACCTTCCCATGTCAATATGTACATATCACAGGGATAAAAGTATTCGTCACTCTTTCCCCTTGATCTTTCTTCTAGAGAGAATTCACCTTTCCTTCCTAATTCCTAGAACTCTTGTTGGGTTCATCAAGACTGGGAAAAGCTAAGACGGAGTACACCGATTGCGTTAGGAAGGACCAGAAGCGACCTGGGGTAGGAGAGTAGACCAAAATGGGAATAAAGGGATTAAAAAGAAAGGGGTGTCTGAGGACCAGAAAAGAACTCAGGCTGAGGTCGGGAGGAAGTGAAGAGAAGCAGTTACAAGAGCAGCAGCTGTGATGCTGTGATGAGGGAGACTTAAGATCTTAAGAATTTCTCAAAGAGACTTCAATTAAGATGTCAGTTATTTCCCAATGCTTTTGGGACTGGAGACTGGTGACTCTTTGGAACGTGATGCCATGTTGAGACTGGCCACATTATGGCCAGTTGTAGTTTCATACCATGTAAATCTATCTTATGCTTTTTCGTGGCGGTGTAGTGTTCCATTGTGTGGGAGTACCAAAGTTTATGTAATCTTTTCCTTATAGGCAGACCTGGAGGTTGTTGTAAGTACTTTTGTGACTAAATACAAGTTCCAGGATGAACATCTTGAGGAATAGATTCACTTATATAGAAAGTGAATAGATAGGTAGATGAATGAATTGAAAGCAAGATAGACAGACAGAAAGAAAGATAGATGAAATGAAGGAGGGAAGGACAGAAGGAAAGAAGGAAGGAAGGAATAAAGAAAGAATGGTGGTAAATCTGTACAATAGAATACTACTCAGCAATGAAAAGGAATGGAGTTGATACAGACAACAAGAGTGAATCTAAAATTAATTATACTGAGTGAAAGAAGCCAGACTTCTGCCTGTTTCCATTTATAAAAAATTTAAGATAGAAAGCAGACCAGCAGGTGCCTGGGTATTAGGATACAGGGCAGGAAGGAAGGGTGACAAAGGGGAAGGAGTAAAATTGGAGAAGTGACAAATATATTCATTATCTTGATTGTGGTGATAGTTTCACAGGTATATACATATATCCAAACTTACCAAATCGTACAGTTGAAATATGAGCCAATCATTGCATGTCAGTTATAACTTAATGAAGCTATAATGCAGATGAGAGACAGACAGACAGTTCGACGGGGCGGGGGCATTTTAAGGTGAACAATAGAAAAGAGATCCAGCAGATGCTGCTTTAGGTGTCGCTGGGCTAGGGGCTGCAGAGACAAGCAGAAAGTCACATATGAGATGAACTCCAGGGGGACCCCACGGTGTGGAGAAGGAGCCCTGATGATACGGGTTCTGGGGCTGAGGAGATGGGCAGGGCAAATGGCCTCACACCTGAGCCCAGAACCACACTCGTTTTTCATCTGCAGGCTAGGCCTGTTCCTGGCTTTGTGCCCAACAGTGACTGCCCCAGAGCACAGTGCTGTGCCTGGCACACAGTAGGCACTCGGTAAACGTTTGTCAACACTCAAGCTTGTCTCTTGGACCTAATGAACAAACCTGCTTCTCCAGCCTTTCCCTGGGAGCTCCTTTTTGAATGTGGATCCATTCTCTTTTCTGGCTTCTGCTGGTGCCCACGGCTTTTGCAGAAGGCAGGTTCTCAGAGGTGGGTAAGAGGCTGTGACAGCCCTCGGTTCGTGCCTCCACTCTGCCTGTCTTTAACTTCGTGACTGCGGGCAGGTGAATGCCCCTTTTTGCGCCTCAGTTTTCTCGTCTGTAAAATGGGGGTAAGAAGAATTATTGACAATAGTGTCGGGGATTCATGGAATAAACACTGTGTGGCACACAGCAGGCGCTGAATAAAAGCGTATTTTATTTTTTATACAGTAGTTAAGAGGTTAAGAGCTTGGGCTCTGGAATCAGGCTGACCCAATTTAAAATTCCAGATAATTGCCCCTGGGCAAGTGACTTAATTTCTCCGAGCTTCAGTTTCCTCCTCTATAAACCAGAGATGATAACAAATGCATCGGTTAAGAGCCTGGTAGGAAACAGAGGGCACATTCAAACTGGGTAATTTGAGGAGTTTAATAAAGAGATTATTTGCACAGGTGTGGGCAGAGCTTAGGAAGAACAGGATAGAGGGTAGTACCTGGGTCTAGCAAAGGGGGGCACTGTTCCTGCCCTGGGCCCGCAGGAGCAAGGAAAAGGGTTAATTCCAGAACACAGAAGGGGGCTGGATGAAGATACTCGTCCAACAAGAGCTGTGGCTTTTGGAAGAGGCACAGCCAGCCCACACCAACGCGGCAAGGAGGAACCTGGTGGTTAATGGTCCGACCTCACTGTCTTCCTTCCTCTGATCTGCCGGAACGCATGGGAGCCCACTGAGGCTGTCCACCTGGAGTCAGCCTGCTGGGCTCAGAGCACAGGAAGAGAGCAGTGAGGGGCAAAGAGATGTAATCCAACCGATAAGGGTCCCACCTTATAGGATCACCAGGATTAACTGAGATCACGCCCTTAAGTAGATAGTACAGTAGAGAGTAAGGCTGTGTTAAGCGGCAGGGAGCCCATGGTTACCCCAGAACCCACCCTAGCTTAGCTTTCTCAAGGTTGATACCAGGCCAGCCTTGACCCAACCCTACAGGGCCGGGAATGGAACAGAGCTGATCTGCCTCATTCCGTGTTTACTTAGAGAAAACTTGGCTGCTGAAAGCAAGAAGACGTTGGCTGTGGTTTTCTGCAACAGCTGGGGGTGGAGGGGAGGCAGAGAGAGGGGAGTGGAACACACGAGGGCTTCTGAAAACCAAGGGACCCCAGAGCCCAGGAATCTGAGAAGAGTCCACATTGAGGGCAGCTTGCGCCTGCATTCCCTCTGCCAAGGGACTGGATTTCGGGGCTCGGCGACGTGTCCTGGCAGCTCGGCCCCAGGCGGCAGGGCCATGGGGCAGCACCCAGTGCAGGCCATGTGGAATGTGGCGCTTGGAACGGAGGCTTCTTGCTTTTTCAAACTGGCTTGTAAATCTCCGTATAATTTTCAGGGTTTAGGAATTTTATTTTATCTGGATTAAAGTCATGTTCTGCTTTGGCATCGGAAGGCGTTTATGACTGTTAAAACAAGAAATGAAAAATATAGGTCTGGAATCAGGAAGGCTGTCTCCTGCCAGACTCACAGGGGTTTGTCTTGGGGGCCAGGCTGATGATCTTCTGCCCCCTCTCCCCTGACTGTCCTGGTATTTTTTTATTTTTTTATTTTTAATGAATCTGAGTTGACGGACTTGAAGAAGCAAGTGCAAAGGCCTGGATGGGCCAGTGAGGAAGAAAGGCTTTATCTTTGCTTAGGTGAGCTCCGTCAGTTCCCCTCACTTATTCTGTGTTTGCCCCCTCAGAGCACACCTTCTAGGACACGTGTGAAGGGCTTTCTCACTGTCCCTGTCATGTGGCTGTGCTTGGTCGAGGGGGCCAGTGGCTTCAGACTTTCGATTCATCATTCTGGGATAACTTTGAACTACCCAAATGGCAATTTGGAGCAGGATATAAGTAACTGGGATTCCAGTTTCCTTAGCCTACTCTTCCACCTTCTCTATTTCCTCTTGCTTTAAAGCATGTGTGTGTGCGCGCACATACACACACACACACACACACACACACACAGCCTCTTTCCTAATGGCAAAAGTTATATATGCTTCATGAAAAATACTTGGAAAGCAAAGAAAAGCACCCAGGGGGCGTGGGAAGCAAAATAAGTCATAAGACAAACATCACTCTAGCTTTTGGCGAAGTTCGTGCCAGCATTTTTACTCCTATCTATCTACCTATCACTTATCTATCTTGTTTTAAAAGTATCACAGACTGGGTGCAGTCTTATTGCCTGTATTTTCATTTAGATGTTGTGAGCATCTTGACATTCCTGCAGATAATGCAAGGCATTTTATGACACTAATGACTACTGCTTATTAAGCATCGAGGTTAAGAATTCAGCCTTTGTCATCAGTTCTATGGGCTCAAATCTTAGCTCAGTTGAGTGGTAGCTGCATCTTTGGGCAAGTTGCCTACTCTTGCTGGGCCTGAGTTTTCTCATCTGCGAAAGGGGGATACAATTTTATCCACTTCAGAGGGGAGGTCGCTGTGAGGACAGATAAAATTCCATCGAATAAAAGCCTGAGGCATGCATTGGTCCCTAGTAAGTGCTCGATAAATTACAGTTGATATTCTTCCTGCTATGTTCAGCAGCGATCTGTGTAGGACATTTGGCTGTGTTTTTCTTTTCAGGAGGGTGCTATGTGCAGCATTTTCTCTAAATCAGAACTTTGGGTTCCACAGCATTTGTTTCATGGTAAGCAGCGAGATGATTTTAAACTTCTATCTTCCCTCAAGAACACTCGACAAAATTGGCAGCCTGTCCTATGCAAAAATCCACCCAGAAATGGAAGAAAGGGACATTTGCACAAGCTGGGTTGTGTCTACAGAATTAGAAGGCACAGTTGGGCTAATTTTAGTGCCTAAAAAGTGGAAACATTGAACACATGCTTCATGGGAAAGACAAGTTCTTGCAAGTGGCTAAAGGAACCCTCAGGATTGGTTGAATTGGGGACCGTTCCCTCAAGGACTGGGCACTGTCCAGGTCTCGGCACAGCCTATAAGGCTGGAAATGAAAAGGTTGTGGGGGACGGGGAAAGGGTTAAATGTCCTTCAAGGCTGCAGGTTAGAAATGACTGCGGAGATCTCATCTCTGTTCACATTGCCTCTTCATTGTCTTGGCTTTCCCAGCTATCTGCTTTCCTTTGTCCTGCCACAGATAATTTTGATCCTGTGACCGGGCAGGCAGTCGCTGTGTCGGGGCTCTCTGGTATTTTGTCCTTAGGGATTTCTGAGCGCCGCAGCCCCCCTGTGATTGGCCTCACGTGGGCAAACTGCACACAACTCACTTTGTATCTGAGGAACAGAGCAGGGGGCCTACCTCCTTTTCTCGCAGCCAATCAGGCGGGGGCTGAGAATTTATGAGATGGAGGCGAACCACTTTGAAGAAAGGCGCCCTTGTCTGCGGCCTCGCCATTGCTCGGTGGTGCGCGTGGGGCGGTCGGGAGGGGTGGGCACCGCCAGAGGGCCGGCGCCCTGGGGATGGATGGGGAAAGAAAAGAATCTGAAAAACCAGGGTCAAAAGTCTTTCTGTGAACAGGAAAGAAAACTGAGCAGGCTGCTTTCCTCCTTGCAGGTGTGTTCTCACAATGGGGGGCCACGGCCCCTTGGGCGGGAGGATTGGATGCATCACAGCCCCTGCCTGCATTTGCCCCTGGCCTCCCACCCATCCACCCACTCACCTCTCGTCTCCAAGGAGAACCAGAGAGGGTGAGACTGAAACACTTCCACAAGCAATCATGGCAGCCAATATAGAATAACATCTCCACCGAGGCAGAGAGTTGGGGCTTCCGATCTTCCTATCTTCACGTGCTTTGCCTTCATACCTCTGAGCCTCAGTTTCCTCATCTGTAAAATGAGGTGGTTAATAATAGTGCCTTGCTCACAGGGCTGTTGAGAGGAATTAGCACCACCACGTGGTACCCAGGAAGTGCTGAATAAGTAAAAGCTATTATTATTAGTGGCAACAATATTTGGTTGCTATCCTTAAAGCCCACAATCGAGTCCATTCATCCTGTAGTTTTTTCATTCATTTATTCAGGGAACCAATAAACACTTAACTGGGCCTACTATGTGCTGGTTATTTTACTGGAGATGGTAATTGTAGCTATCACTTGCTTTGCTATGTGTTGGGCTCTGGTTTAAGCCCTTTGTGTGTATTCACTTGTGTAAGCCCACATTGTAAGGTAGGCACTGAGACATTTCATTGACTAAGATCACAGAGCTAGTAAGACTGGGAGCTGGGGCTTGAACCAGGGTCTGCCTGCCTCTCAAGTCTATGAGTTAAGCGCTCTGCGAGCTTTAAACTAATAAATAACCCATGATTCCTGCCACCCCCTTTGGGCAGTTCTGTGCACTAGATCTTTCTGCAATGATAGAAATAGTCCATGTCGGCACTGTCCACTGGTGGTTACTAAGAGCTTGAAACGTGGCTAGTATCACTGAGGAACTGGATTTTAAATTTTATTTAGTTTGCATGAATGATGAATGTCGGTGTGGATTTCAACAGCCACACGTGGCCAGTGGCTATTGTATTAACGAGCACAGCTCTAGGAATTCAGAACCGAGGCGAAGAAATTCACCTTAGTCAAGGCAGTAAGTGTTATGCTGTGGCTCTGCCTAAGTCTGAGGTCACAGGAGGCTTCCCAGAGAGAGTTTTGAGGAAGGAGGGGTTGGCAGGAGGGGAGGTCATTTTAAATATACCCGAATATGCTGGATTTCCCAACAGCACAGTGCTCAGGCAGCACTTTGGTGGAGACTGAAACCTGTAATCAAGACCCAGGGTCTCCTCTGAGCTACGAGATAACCAAAGCTCACCTTCGAAGGATGAAAGAAGACTGGATTCAGGAATGTGTCCGCTGGTTTTTTTTTTTCGGCGGCAGGTATCAGCTTGTGCTTGGCTTTTAACCATCACCTCTCTGAGGATGTGAAAACACCTGGAAAACAAATCTGAAAAATTCACCGGCTCATCAGAATGCCGTATGAATATCACATGAAACCCAATGTCCAGGAATCGGGAGCCAGCTCTAGGCAGACAAAAGCGTAGTAATAATAATAAGGATAATGATAATAATGAAAAACAGCTACCACTTATTAAGACACTTACTTTGTGCCAGACCCAATGTTAAGTGCTTTCGTGTATTGATCGCCTCACAGAATCCTACAATCCATTTTCTACATGGCAGCAAAGTGGCCTTTTTAAGACATAAACTCTAAATCAGATCATGCTAGTCTGTGGCTAAAAACCCTTGAGTGGCTTCCCATTATACTTAGAATAAAATCAAAGTTTCTTGCCTTGGCCTGCAAGGCGTGGCTCATGCCTACCTTTCCGCATCTGCTATCACTCTCCACCTACTTGCTAAGCTCCAGACACATAAGACCCCTCTCTGGTATAAAGTGCCAAGCTTTTGTTTGCCCCAGGACCTTTGCACTTGCTGTTCCCCCAATAAGCAACTCAACTCTTTGCCCTATCCCTCCACTAGAATGAATGTACTGGAGTGCGGGGACCTTGTCTCTTTGATCACTGTGGCATCTCCAGCCCCTAAGACAGTAGGCATTCAATACAAGTTTTTTATATGATCGAAAGGATTTTTGACCCTATGTACTAGGCATTATTATCCTCACATAACAGATAAAGAAACTGAAGGTCAGAGTGGTTAATTTGCTCAAAACCACATGGCTTGTGAATTTCCAATTACCTGTCTGGAGGATTCTGTCCATATTCTTCTCTCTGTCAGACAGCTGTGCTGAGGATGCACAGCTACCTTGGGAGGAGGAGCATCCTTCAAGATGTGGTTTTCATCTCTTCACTCTGCAAACAGCCCTGGTTTGCCTCACTTAGCCCTTTATTGCCAGGATCTGTCTATATAATAAGAAACTCTAGCCTGCAAAACTACCCAGTTTTCCTCTGGCTTTCACTTTATGTTTTTCTTTGATCATAAAAATGAGTGTTGTAGAAAGACTGGAAAGTGTAGAAAAAAACATATACATATATAGTGGGGGAGGGAGGAACATGCCTGCCTTTACTACCCAGGAGGCATGGTTAATGTTTTGCTTTTTTTACTGCCAATCTTTTCTATCATCTTTAATACAGAGTTGATAGCGTCTCCATATGTCATTTTGTATCTGACTTTTATCCCTTAATGCCATATCTTTAGAATGTTCTCAAAGCATTTTTTTCCCCATAAGGTAATGGTGGCATAATATTCCTTCACTTGGGTACACCTTTTAGTTAAATTTAGTTTAACGCAACCAACTTTCTTTTGTTTGGGGGTTTCCCTTTTCTCATTTTGCAGGCCGGTAAGCCAAAAATTAGGACTTAAATGATAAGAAGCCCCACAGACAATGATGACTTAACCATAAAGAGATGCATGGACAATTATATTTCCCTTTGGAGATCAGAAAAAAGCATGTCTGTATTCCATCAGAATAATTATTGCTACAATTTTATAATTTCCTGAGATTTCATAATATACGAAAGTTGTGGCTATTCCAGAGAAAATCCTGAACTATACCTAAACATCTTCACCCAAAGCACAGGTGTGAAGGCTGTGTTGACGCTCAGCAAAATCCCCCTGATTGCCTTGTCACCTATACCTTCTCGGCCACCGACCACGCAGCGGCTGTCACTACAACCAGGAGGTGAGATAGAAAAGGGCTGGGAATCTGAAAACCAGAAGCCAAGGTTCACGGTCCGACGTCAGGGCTTACCTATCTATATGCCCTTGGACATGTCACTTCTCCTCTTTCCTGTAGAATAAGTATGATAGTCCTTGCTTCAGAGAACTGTGAAAGTCAAACGAGGGATCACAAAGTTGTTTGGAATTCTTACAATCCACTGAGTTATGACTACGGTGGCTATTCAAAAGGACTTAAAGGTCAGCAGAGCCAATGTTCTCTAGCCCAAATGTTCTCCAGCCCAAATCTTTTAAACAGCTGGTCCTTCTTATAAGGTGATAGATATAGACTGGATTAGTGGGTCCTCTGCTTGTAATAAATTTATGGGGATTTGAACGCGTGGGTATAAGGCTTTGCTGGTCGCCTACCCAGTATCCATGTTCTACTTCCCCTGGTCCTAACAGAAGCCCTGTTGGAGTCAGGCATTCACTGATTCCTCCATTCAGCATGTGACTCAGGGCAAACGGACCCCACCTCCAGGTGGACCTGATTGGTCAAAGGATAACCCCTCCCCTTGCCAGTGATTGGTTCAACAGAGGGCATACGAGCCCATTCTGGCAACTGAGACACAAGGCGGAGGAGCAGTTGGTAACGTGTGAGGCAGGGAGGAAGGATCTCCTTGCGCCTAACAAATTATCATGGAGATATTCTTTGACCTCTCTTTGTGGGTGCCACACCTTGAACTGTGGCAGCCATCTTGCTACCAGACTTGGGGATGAAGCCAATAGAGAGAGGGGAAGAACAGAGACAGGATGATGGTGGATGTCAAAAACACTACCACCAACAACAGTAAAAGCAGCAAACATTTATTGAGTACTTAGAGGTTGCCAGGTCCTATTCTAAATGTATTATATGCTTTAGCTTAGGGAAGGAGGGGGTGGCCCAACCTTTTTTGGTGGCCTGTGAACTAAGAATGGCTTTTACATTTTTTTAATGGTTGAATTAAAAAAGTGAGCAATAATATTTTATGGCACATGAAAATTATATGAAATTCAACTTTCAGTGTCCATAAATAAAATTTTATTAGAACACAGCCATGCCCAGTCATTTACCTATTGTCTATGGCTGCTTTCATGCTACAACAGTGGAGCTGAGTACTTGGGCAGAGACTGCCCACTACTTTGTCAAGAGCAATGCCTACTATATTTACTATCTGGCCCTTTATAGAGAGGTTTGCCCACCCTAACTTTAGTGTTCACAACAACCCCATAAGTTGGTGTACCATTATTATTAATATCTTGTTTTTTCACAGAGGAGAAAATGGAAGCTCAGAGAGGTTAAGTTATTGGTCCAAGATCACACAGCCATTAAGAGGTGGGCTTGAGATTCACTACCAAACAGTTTGGCTCCAGAGCCAGTGGTCTTAACCACTTTGGGATAGAACCTGGATTCCCAATGACATGGTTGAGATGCTGAGTCAAACAACCCTAAACCTGCCTCACCTTGGGACTTCCAGGTTTCAGAGTCATATGACATGATAGTATTCTTGAAGCCAGTTTGAGACCACATTTCTATTCTTTGCAGGTGAGAGCATCCCAGCTGATGCCATGAGAAAGCACCTTAGAAAGGTAAAAATAGAAAGAAAAAGCATGCTATCACTGTCTTGAACCAACTGCCTTTTGTCCTTGCTCGGGGGAATGAAAGCTTTCTTTCTCCAGACACTTCAAGTCTCCACAAGTTCTTCCCTTTACAAGGGATTATGAAGGAAATCCTATTTTAGAATTGCGGCTGCTTTGGGCAATCTGCTCAATATTAGCCTGATGAGGAATTACACTCACTAATAAAATAGCTCAAGTTGGGCTGAGTCTAATTGTTGCAAGTGCTAGTAGTAATAGCCTGTCGCGGGGACTTCTGTGCCGGTGCATCTCTCGCTTGGCTACAGCCCATGTGGAAAATCAATTTCCTCTAAATGTTTGAAGAATGGCACAGAAGGACCTGATTTCTTTTCCCTCTGCTGGAGTCAATCTGGAGACAGTGAGCCTATAAAGTGAATGAAAATAGCTACAGTTGCAAGATGCAGGGTGGAACACCGAGCTAAGCAAAGCCTGAGCACGAGCTCTCAGTTCTAGCTTTTTTGTCCTAAGGCCAGAGACAATATACACTTGTGTCCCAAATTGACGTGCTCTTAACAAGTCGCAGAACGGAAAGGATTTGACTTCAACCCAGCAGTGTCACTTCTAGGAATCTCTCCCACAGTAAAACTCCCACAAGCATGCAAGAATATACGAGCAGGGTGTTCCTCGCAACCTGCTTTGTGATGGTGAAAAATTGGAGGCAGGATAATTGTCCAACAAGAGGAGACTGGTTAAATAAATGATGATGCATCCCTGCTCTGTAGCCATGAGGGAGAAAGAAGTAAATCCGTATGTATGCATATGGAAAGGTTTTTGTGATATGGGCTTGAGTGAAGAAAAGAAAGTTGCACATCAGTATATACATAGTATGAGTTCATTTTTGTGGAAAAAAAACCAACTTTCAACAGTGCTGAGCAGATTTACATGTAGATGTTTGTATATGAGTAGAGAAGGGTCTGAAAGGATACACACCAAGTTGTAGACAGTGGTGGCTAAACCCAGGGGTGGGGATGGTGCAGGTGAGAGGGGAAACATCCCTTCCATATTATTTAGACTTTTACACAGCAAGGATATATGGTTTTGATAATAAAAAAAGGAAATAAAGAATTAGCTTTCTGGGGGCTGGCCAAGTTGCTCAGTTGGTTAAGAGCGCAAGCTCTGAGCAACAGGGTCGCCAGTTTGATTCCCACATAGGCCAGGGAGTTGCGCCAGAGCTGAGCTGACGCTGAGCTGGTGAGAGTGCGTGCTCTCTTAGCAGCAAGGTTGCCAGTTTGACACCCGTATGGGATGGTGGACTATGCTCCCCCCTGTGCCCTCCAGCCTCCGCAACTAGAGTAAAAACGGTGACTGGACTTGGAGCTGAGCTTGCGCCCTCCACAACTAAGATTGAAGGACAACTTGACTTGGAGCTGATGGGTCCTGGAAAAAAACACAATGTTCCCCTTCCACAATTCCCCAATACTGTTCCTCTCCCCAATTCCCCAATAAAAAATCTTAAAAAAAAAAAATTGGCTTTCTGGCATGTGTGAATAGCATTGTGCTAGGCTTGCCACAATTTCTGAGGGCTCAACGCCACAATGCTGATGATCCAATCAAGTCACAGATACAAGTCTGTTATGTAGCCTAATTCGATAGGTCATAGCTCTTTCTAGTCTATGTTGCTGCAAAGGGACTTCATTTTATCCTTAGCTACCTGCCTACCAAATCAGAACCCAACCAAAACATCCTTTGGCCAAGGCCAGAATTTAAAGATTTACTTTTTTTTAAATTGTGTTAAAATATATGTAACATAAAATGTACCACTTTAACCATTTTAAAGTATACAGTTCAGTGGCATTGGGTACATTCATAATGTTATGCAACCAAAAGTACTATGTAGTTCCAGAACGTTCTCATCACTCTAAAAGACAACCCCATACTGACTAGCATCACTCTCCATTCTTCCTTCCCCTCAGCCCCTGGAAACCACTAATTGGCTTTCTGATTCTATGAATTTGCCTATTCTAGACATTTCATGTAAATGGAACCATACTATACATGGCCTTTTATGACTGGCTTCTTTTGCTAATATAATGTTTTCAAGGTTCATTCACGTTGTAACACTTATTGGTACTGCATTCCTTTTTATGGCTGTGTACTATTCCATTGTATGGACATACTACATTTGTTCATCCATTCATCAGTTAATGGACATTTTGAATATTTTTCAGATACTATGAATAACGCAGCTCTGGACATTCCTGTACACATTTTTGTTTGAACCCCTTTTTCAATTCTTTTGGATATATACGTAGGAGTAGAATTGTGGGGTCATATGGTAAGTCTATGTTTAACCTTATCAATATTTGCTTTGAAAACCCCAGAAGGCAAGTCTCCTGACATGGTGGGAAAAACTTCTTTATTACGTCCCCTGAGTCTAAGCAGTTCAGTATATAGGTAAGATAGTTACTATGTAATTACCTCATCTAGATGTTAAAAATCATCTGCTAACATCCTGCTTCTTCAAGAATATTCCAAATATTGCTATTACATTAGTAATTGGGGAACTGTTATTCAAAATACATTAATCAAATGATTCATCCGGGATTTCTCACATTTTACTTTCTGTTACATTTGTGGAAATTAAACAATTCTGACTATTCCTAAGCATAATGACACTAACCTTGAATTGTCCCAGTGCCAGAACAGATCCTTGCGGGTGGGCTTTTGCTGAATGGTTGCCTGCAATAATCAGCCTATCTTAAGGTGGGAGAACCTGCAACCAGTAAAACATAGCAGTTAAGTTGCTTTGGGTCAGTAGGACCTGGGTTCGAGTCCCAATTCTGCAAATAACTAACTTACTTTGGGAAAGCCACTTAACCCTTCTGATTCCCTCAGTTCCCTCCTCTGTAATATTGGACTAATTATAGGACATACTTCATGGATCATTTATTCATTCAACAAACATTTATCGTGCAGCAACGCATACTGTTTACGATCACTGACTAAAACACACAAGACTCCCTGCCTTTGTGGGGAGAGACAGACAATAAATAATATACATAATCAGTAATTATAAGATAGTTAGCTAGTGATGAGTTATTATGAGAAAAAAAAAACAGAACAGAAGGGCCGAGGGAAGGGCTGCATTTTAAATGGTGAGATCAGCGTAAGTCCCACTAAGAAGGTGACATTTGAACAAAAGCTTGAAGGAAGAAAGAGGATACGTGATGTGGATATCAGGGAGGAAGGGGAACAGGTAGTGCAAAGGCCCTGAGGCTGGAATGCTCTGCCCAGTCCACAGAAAGGCCAGGAGACTGGTGTGCCTGGACCAGCGTGCCCGTGAGGGATGACAGATGCTGATTTTGTGGGCCCCGATGAGGGCTTTGGATTTTATTCTGAGAGGAATAAGGAGCCCTCGTTGGTTTTTGACCTGAGCTGACTTGTATTTCAGAAGCATCCTTCGATCTGTCGTGTTGAAAATAGACCACAGACAGATGAGGACAGCGGCAGGGAGGCCAATTAGGAGCATACCGAAGTAATCCAGGTGACAGAAGATGGGGGCTTGGACCGGGGTGGCAGCAGGGAGGCGGTGAGAAATGGCTGGGTTCTGAATACATGCCGAAGGTAGCGCCAACACCATTTCCTGTTGGGAGGATTAAATAAGATAATACAGGCAAAGCTCTTATCACAGAGCCCATGTGGTTAGAACAAAATAACGGTGGCCACGATCATTACTAAGGTGGGCCTGGCGTGTTCCCCTGCAGGGGCTGATCAGGGCCTAAAAGGAAAGTGACGAGACGGAAACTGTCATGGTTCCTGTGTGATCTGCAGTGAGTTACAGGGGGCACCAAAGGTCACGAGGCTTTAACACGATGGAGACAGGGGTTTCTGCACCTTCCAGAGAACTGGGAAGCCCAAAGCAGCACAGCCACATCATGTGGACCAAAATAGAGATTTCAGGGCCAAGCTATTTAATGAACTCCCAAAGCGTCTTTCTCATAGTGTAGGAAAAGCAATGTCAGTCAGAAAAATGTTTGTTTCTAGAGTCCCTGGCTTTGGAACTATTTACTGGCGATATCATCGCAGCCCAGGTATTTATTTGGGGGGTTTTCGATCGAACGGCTCGACTCCAGAATTCCTTCCAAGAAGAACCAATCGCCAAGAGACAAGCTGGATTCCTTTCAACTCACCTTCTCTTTGCTCCAAATTCCAGAGATGAGACAAAAGGTCGTTCCTGAGGCTGATAGAGATGAATCTTTCCAGGGGAATGCCAACGTCAGGGCTCTGCCTCTGTAAGCCCTCTGCCAAAGTCTTCCCATCGGACATCTGGCCTCAGCAGGGAGAAGCAGAGACTGAGGCACTGATCTGGGCTTTGACGTCAGCAAGGGAAGGCTGATTTAATTCATCATTAGGGCAAATTGAAATCCACGAAACCATATCGCTCTTCGTTCTATCGCCTGCGTTTCTAGAGCTGGCAGAGGTCTTGCTTTCCTTTTGTTTTCATTTTGCTCAGGATTAAGGTGTGATTTTCTTTTAACAGTTAATTAGAAGATAATAATGCCAGCGAGCTTATTGTTAATTGCTTGTATCTGTACTTAATACTTATAAGTGTGCTCAGGTCTCGCAAGCTAATATTTGGCTTGTCAAATGTGTTAGTCATTGTAATTAATTGAGCTCATATACATTTACTGGTGCTGTGGGGAGAGTTATAGGAAGAGCGGCAGATATGAAATGTCTCCACCACCCTGTGCTTATCCCCGGAAAGGGAACTTTGGGGGACCGGATCCTTCTTGGGACATTTGCTCTTTACCCGTCTAGTTTCTTTCCCCACTCCTGCTGAGAGGGTCTTCCCTGTAAGACCTCTCTCTCTCCTCTCTCTCTCTCTCTCTCTCTCTCTCTCTCTCTCTCTCCCCCCTTCCTGTTAATTACATTGGTACCATCAGGCCCAGCTTCGTGGGGCCCAGGGCAAAAAATAAAAATCTGTATCCCCTCGTTCAAACGTTTTTCTAGGTCGCATGCCCAGGAAGCTTTTGCCTATCCCCAAATGGCGTCTTCCCACCAGAGTGTACCCCATTCCTCGTCTCTACGGGTAGAACAGCGCGCCGCGGCACACAAGAGGGGCTCAAGAAATAAGCAAAAGAATTTTCCAAACGCAAGCTTGCAAATTGCAAAGCGTAACCATGTAACTCCCCTGCTGAAAATCCTCCTGTGGACGGAACAGAGGGAAATTTCTGGAGGAAGAGAAATGTTTTATATTGATGTAGGGTAGTGGTCACGGTGGGGTAAACATTTGTCAAAACTCATCAAACTGCAGGCTTTAGAAAAATGCATTTTATCGATGTGCATAATTACACTTCAATGAAACACAGCATGGCCTAAACCCCCCCCCCCCCCCCGAATAGCTCCACATTACCCTAAAGATAGTCTACCCTTTGTCACACATCACACAAGGTCCTTTCCCAGAGGCCTGTTCTTAGTTTTCTGGTCTCACCTCCAGCATGTCTGTGGCTCCCTTTTTTCCAGCCCTGCTGGCTGCCAGCATGTCTCATACCTCATACCTCGGTGCCTTCTCCCCCAACTGCCCCCTGGCCCAGGAGTGAAAAAAAAATCAAATGCTTAACAACCAATATGACATCAGCACCAACTGGAAAGGACTCTGGAACTTCCTGCTGGTGAGGCGTTAACCCTTTAACGCCTGCATGATGGGGAAGTGGATGAAATCCCAGGTGAGAGAGGGTGAGGAGAGGGCCCTGGTTATTCACCAATCCATATGGAGGTAATTGAATATTTACCCGTCATAGCCATATTAGTATATGTTTCCTGAGCCCACTGCCTAACATGCAGGCCAGCCCTTCCTTGTCTGGCTGATACCTCCCTCCTCCACCTTCAAATCTCAACTCTAGGGTGTTCTCCTCCAGGCAGCCTTCCCTGATGCCCTCTTCTCTCTTGATCTCTCTGTAACAGCGTTTACCACGCTGCCCTAGATTAGTTGATACACTTTCCGTCTTCTCCATCTCTTTAAGGCTGAGACTGTGACTTCTTGCTCCCAGTCCAGCAAGGTGCCTGGCACACACAGATCCAGGCGCGCACACACACAAGAGGGAAGGGATTTTCTTGGTGGCTTTCCTGGCACCTGGTGCAGACACAGATACCCGTGCGTGGATGGACGAATGAGCGTGTGAACAAATGAAGGAGTGAATGTCCTCTTTCCCTTCACTATATTTCCTTTCATGAAGGCAGTGGGGACTCTTAGTACATGGGTGTGGACAGGGAATATTGAGGCAGCTAAGATCTTAGACGGTGGGCTTAGGCGACCTGGAGAGACCTTGGTTAGCCCTAGCCGCTTGGCACATTTGGGTGAGTGATTTGACCTCCCTGAGCGTCAGATCAGGTCATTATGGATGTGGCTTCCCAGGGCTGCCGAGAAGCTCAAATGAGACAACACCTGCAAAACACGTAGCCATCAGCAGCTCTGACTGAAAGAGAAATTGGATCTCGTTCACCTGGGAGCCCAGGTTCCTGGAGGTGGTCACCAGGCAACCGGAAAAGGAGCCACTTGCCATTTGCAGCCATCCTCGCAGCTCTGATTCTGCCTTCCGTCCTCCAGCTTCCCTCTGTTCGGTCCACAGGAGGATTTTAAGCAGGGAAGTGATATGGTTACACTTACCCGGTCTACTGGGTCAGATGATTGCACAAGAGTGAAGCATTTCCCTGCAATAAGGATATAACCATTGGCAGATGTCAATGAACCAAAATCCGGAAGACAATAAAAATGGGCATTGTTTTTTTTTTTTATTTGGCTCCAACTTCCTGTTTCTCTGCTGGAATTTCAGTCACGTGTGAGAGAGCATGGGGTCCTCAACCTCGTAGATAAAACACCGCGGTGATTGCCTTCCCAATCAACCGGACCTGTTTTTCAGCCTTCCTGGGTATTCTGCCCAAGACTAAGTCTTGGCTAACTATGGAACAAATTGTCCCGTCGTCCCAATACCTCCATCTCCTTCCCAACCACGGCCTCCCAACCAATTCCTAAATGTCCAGGAAAAGCCAGTTTTGCATCCTAACTGAGACCTGGGGCTCCAGAGTCAGTTACGTTGGAGTTCCAATTTCCTTACCAGTTCCTGGCTGTGAGATCTTGGATGAGGCTCTTAACCTCTCATTTTCCTGCTGAGGAAAGAGCAGTGTCTATAGCGCGGAGTAGCCGTGAGGACTAAATGACAGGACTAAATGGCAGAACTTGCTGAGGGTTCCTTAAAGGTTGGTTGTTATACTCATTGTGACAAAGAGAGGATAGGAGAATTTTATAATAAGCCCTGCAAGACCTGCAAAATCGAGAGGACCCTTATTGGATAAGCTGCCTCCCTATGTGCTAGGATGTGACCTTGTTGGGAAGAGGATCACGGCAGGCGTAATTAAGTTCAGGATCTCAGGGTGACATCATCCTGAATCTGAGTGGGCCTAAGTCCAGTACAAGTGTCCCGAGAAGACAGAAGAGAAGAGGGGAGGGGAGGGGAGAGGAGGGGTGATGAGGAGACGAGAGGGGGAGGGGAGGGGAAGGGAGGAAAAGGAGGGGAAGGGAGTGAAGGGAAGGGGAGGGAAGACCTGTCCGTGGGAAGACTGTGTGAAGACAGAGGCAGAGATCGGAGTGATGCAGCCACAGGCCTTCCAAGGAAGCTGGCAACCACCAGAAGCCAGAAGAAGCAAGGAAGGATATTCCAGAGGGAGCCCAGCCCCTGATTTTCGAATTCAGGCATCCGGAACTGCGTGAGAAGAAATGCCTGCTGTTTTAAGCCTCCCCACCCCAGTTTGTGACAATTTGTTACAGCCACCCCCAGAAAATGAACGTCCCTATGGCACCTTCAGTGGAGACTGGGATAACTTGCCTCCACTGGGCAGTTCCGAGGGTGAAGAAGACGATGGTGCAGGCTTCCGGCCTTAGCCCATTTCGGTAGACGCCAGCGTGGGGCCCATTCAACCTGATCATGAAGAACGACAGACTTGGGCTCAATTCCAGCTTCCTTTTTAATAGCCGTGCAATCTTGGACAAGTGACTCAACCTTTCTGGACTTCAGTTTCTTTATACATAAAATAGGAGTAGTCAGATACCTACCTCATGAGACAATAAGATGATGCAGACAATACGTGTGACGGGCCTGGTATGTGAAAAATGCTTGATGAATGGCTGCCGTGATGACGCTTTCGGGCAAATCCATCTAGCTTCTCACACAAGTGACGCGATGCTGATTTGGTTGTGGAGTGGCCTGTGGCCATGGGGAACCCTCAAAGCTAAATGGCCTGAGGGGAGTCAACCTGTGGCTGTGCCTGGTTTGCACGGCTCTGTCCTCCTGAAGGAAAGGCCTGGCTGTCCCCAGGTGCCTTGTGAAATAGCTGGGCACTCTGAGCTGTCGCTTTATTGTTCTTTGCTGATGCCCAAGGTGTTGAAAGCCGGCCCCCAGCTCCCAAGGCATCACTCTGTGCATGCGACGCACCTTCCAGAGGCAGTGACTTCTAACCAAGCCGTGGTGGCTCCATGGCCGGGCTGGCTCCTACTTCCTGAGCGC